ATGAAGCCGTTTAAAAGCCAGGTGCCATACAGCTGTAACCTCAACAAGCTCTCTCAAGGAGAGAGCCTGCCTCAAGAGTGACACAGGGAGTGACAGATGAGGAGAAGAGCTTGGCCTGTGCTTCCCTTGGTCAGGCTCTTCAGACAGTTTCAAGGGCGGCCAACCAAGCAGAAGCCAGCTTTCACTCTCAACTACTTCCTCTTTCGCTTTCTCACAGTATAGTACAAGGCAAGTCAGACAGCTATTCTTAGAGGAAAACAAAAGCCAACCGAGGCTGAACAATTGGGTTTTATTAAATCAGAAGTGGAGTCTATGGTTTTCCCCCACCTCTGGCAAATCTGTTTCATTTTGTTGAATGAGGGACAGCGGGGTTTGTTTGTTTTTGTTTTTTTTTTTTTTTTGCCTATATAAAACATAGCCAACAACTTCCAGCCTCTCAGGCCGTTCGTTATTGATTTTCCCTATTATATTTCAAAATAACACGCGTAAAGTTGAAGGTGTTATTTATTCCTCTAATGTAGAAGTGGGGAAAAACAAAACAAAAACAGACTTAGGGACATGAAACAATTCTAGTGACACGGCCAACACCAACAGTCAGTTTCAGAGTTCTCACTCTCCCATTACTTTGGAAAGACCAGTAGAGACGAATCTGGCCATCTCGGTGGACAGCGAAAGGAAGGAACGGCGGTGCTTCCGCACTTGGTAACGAAAAGGACTAGAAAGACAGCTGGGAAAGGAGAGGGAGCCTTCCCTCCTTGCAGTTTACCCAGACATCTTTTGGACTTTTGCCGGCTCGACGTTTGGGGGCCAGCCAAACACCGTAAAAAACAAACAAACAAAAACACGCCGAACCCAACAAATAGGTAAAATCGAAACACGGTAACAGCTAGCACGGAGGAGAGAACTGGGCTGTCAACCGAGAGCCACTGCCCAAAGCGCACGCGCGCGCGCGGTCCGCCCCTGGACCTAAGAAACGAGCCTATCAGCAGCGGACCGAGCTCCGTCCTATCGCGCATGCGCCACTCGCCCGCGCACGCGCACTCCTGGCCATAGTGGTTCCCGGGTAGCCCTCAGCCCTCCCACTGACCCCCAATGCCGGCTGCCATGCCTGCAGCTCTCGCTCCGCGTTCCTCACCTTACGACCTGTTTTCTCCCGAAGGGCCTTCAGCCGTTCCTTCCGTCGCAGCGCTTCTTCCTCGAGGCGGCCCACACCGGCAGAAGCGGCCGCCATCTTCCCCGAAGCCCCTTCCTTGCCCCCCTGCCCCGCGCAGGCCCAGTGAGTAGAAGAATGTCGTATGGCCAATCCAAGGGCGAGATTGGAGCGCCGGAAGCCCCGAGAGCCAATCAATGCTGAGTTGCTGCAGGAGGTTACGCCCTTTGAGCTGGAGCAACCTGTACTGCCAGTGAGCCGGCTGGGTTCAGGGAAAGGCGTTAAGGTTCGATTTGTCCGACACTTATCAGTGAGAAAGCAAGTAGAATCAGACCTGAAAGGAAGAGAATAGAGTGAGTCGATTGCTCTGGTTCTGCCTAATCACTACCCGGCTCTCCTGATTGCCCTCTTGGAAGGCTTAACCGTTCTCATCCACTGGTTGGCGATTCTTGAAAAGGAGGGAATGCCTTTAGAGACATTCCCTGAGCCGGGTGTGGTGGTGCATGTTTGTAATTCCAGCACTTCAGATGCTGAGACAGCAACATTGGGATCAGTTTAGTCTGGGTTACGTAGGGAAACCTTGCTTAAAGCATCGTCTCCAAACAAACACCCAGAAACCTTCCCGTGCCACCCTCATTCCCATCTCACTCTGAGATCACCCTCTCCCTTCTCTACAGACAGCGGCCAGTCGCACCTCGGACTTGCCTGATGCTCCTAAGCCTCGCTGTCCACTCTCTGCTCCAGACCTGCACAGTTCCAGGCCTGGCTGCATGGCCTTGTTCTCTGACTTCAAGAACGATCTCTCCTCCCTTTCTGGAGCGGCAGAATACTCAGGTTCAGGCCACCTTCTCTGCATAAGAGCAAACATCAACCAAGGCCAAGTAAGAGCTCCAGAACTACTCATTCCTCCCAGTGTCGAAACAGTTTGACTGGCCGGGCGGTGGTGGAGCACGCCTCTGATCCCAGCACTTGGCAGGCTGATCTTTGTGAGTTTCAGTCCAGCCTGGTCTCTCTAGACCAGCGAGTTCCAGGACAGTAAGGGCAACATGAAATCCTGTCTCAAGAAAGAAAGAGAGAAGGAAAGAAAGGTGACTGTAGCAGATGGTCACAGAGCCATGCACCGCCTCTTCCCTACTCTTTTTCTCAGGAGATGACTGTTGCGTTAGCAGCGTTGCTCCATGTCTGCCCACAGGTGAATGATCTTCCCTCCCAGCTCCCTTCAAATGCCACAGCCCCCTAACCTCACTGGCTTTAACCTGGTTCTGTCTAGGACCTTCCATGCTTAGGAAATGTAAGCTCAGACTAAGATGCATAGGGCAAGAGAGAAACAAAGGCCAGAGGGAAAGAGCCATCCACTCCAAGAACACAAAACAGGACAGGGACAGGGATGCAGCCTTCTCTTGGCCACCTAAGATTTAGGGCACTCTAGACTGGTCAGTTCCTAGGACCAATAGCTGGCTGGACCTAGTGAAATTTCCCCTACCCCTAACAGAGAACCCCAGGGGCTCCCTCACTTCACAAGAAGTCTGGGCACAAGGAAAGGGACAGAGTGGTGGCAACAGTGTCCCAGGAAAGATTCAGCCAGGCCTAGATTCCTTGTTCCTGCTGCCCCTGCAGTCCTCATTCAGCCTCTCTGGGCCTCAGTTTCCCCATTCATTAAAACAGGCATGAGGCACACACCTTCTTCAGGTCAAAGGAACAAAAGAGGACAAGCTGGGCCCTGTGAGGGGTGGGGGTGGGGTTGCCACCAATGGAGCACTTGAAAGGCTTCCTAGAGAGAGTGGGCCAGAGGTATCCTAAGATTGGTAGGGGTCTGCCCAGTGGAAGGACGCAGCTCCTTGAAGGCACGTTTTGTCCTCAGTCGGCTGGTGATTCTTGCCGGCCAGCTCAGCACTCAACAAGAACTGAAAGGTGGCACTTGTCTTCCATAAAGCTCTTAGGACGGAACCTTGCACGGAGTTACCACCACAAGTGCTCTTCATGGACTAGGTTATTATCAGTATTTGCTGAAGGCCCTAGTCATCCCCGCGCACACCACAGTCCCTTCCTGCAATAGCGATAACTCCAAGTCCGATAGATTCTGTACCCGATGAACAACTCAGGAAGCCCTCACCGGGATCTAGTTTGTAAAGGTCCGGGCACTGGCTCTGCAGGGACTCTGCCTGCGAGGGGCGGGGTTCCGCGCGACTTCCCGGGGCGCCCTGACCTCAGGCTCCTCCTCCAGCCCGACTCCCCGCCCTTTGCACAGTCCTAGGAGAGGCGGGGCGGTGGCCGCCGCCTTGACAGACACCCAAGGGTAGGAAGGCAGGCTGTGGTCGGCCGGGCGGAGGAGGGGCGCGTAGACTTTGGTGACTGAGCGCGACAGGATCGAGAGCGGCGGACTTCCCCGAGCAGTGCAGCGCCGCTCCGCCCCGGAGTGACGCCCTCCCGCCCATGGGCCTGGCCCGGGGCAGCCGGCGGGCGGCGCGGAGGAGGCGGCGACAGGTGGCGCGCAGCTGGGCCAGAGCCGGGTCAGGCCATGGCCGCCTCGGAGCGGCTCTACGAGTTGTGGCTGCTGTACTACGCGCAGGTGAGCCCGTCCCGCCCCTGGTCCGCCGGGCCCCCAGATCCGCGCGCGCCGAGCCTGCTGCACCTGCGTCCGGCCCCCCTCCGGGCCGCAGACAGGCGCGCGCGCGGGGCTCCAGCCCCGCTCACACGTGCGTGCCGCTGGCCGGCGGGCTGCCTCGGACATGTGTGCCAGCGGGACCGCGTTCGCAGGCGCGCACTGTACGGCAAGTCCCCAGCGAAACCGCGCAGCCTCAGTTGCCCTGGCCAGTCACTTATTCCTCACCCCTCTCACAACCGGGTAACAGGAGATCTGGAAAGAAAGGGACTCAGTTTGCTTATAGACCGTTTCGCCTGAGGGGCGCATTCGCGATAGGTGGTCGTGGCTAGAATGTCAAGTGTTCTGAGGGACCCGGCAGGTGACACTCCTTACAGTCAGACGATAGTCACCTCAGACTTCTCCAGAGAAGTACTTAGTGATGAGCTCTTGCTGTACTTGAGGCGACCTTAGCCTACCTTCGTTCTGCTGTGGGGCAGGGTCGGGAGGTGAAGCCAGGAAGGATGTCTGCAAAGGACCCACGTTTCAGGCTGCCTCCGGTGGTACCAGAAGGGGAGGGGAGGGACTGTGACTCTCGTGATTCAAAATCTAGAAGCTCCACTTTCATTCTTGCCCTGGAAGCAGGGAGTGATCGTGGGGTTACGCCTCCCGCCTTGCACCTGCTTGGCACTAGGTGCCTAGCTCAGGTGTGCCCTGTGCACAATGGTCCATTGTGTGTCCCTGAACAGCCTGTCACTGGGAGAGCAGGGATATGGGGAGACTTCATGCTCAGCCCTGGCCCTCTGAAGAGGCTAGTTAGTCTATCTCTTAGGTCTAAGCCTGAGGGGCCACAGCTTCTGTGGTCTTGGGCTGCTGGCATGTAGTAGTCTTTCCCCCGACGGTGACCCAGTCCAAGCTCATTGCACCTTTAAGCCTCTTCTTCCCTGTCTGTAAAATCAACACCATTTTGCCCTCAGGCCGCCTGGGCTTCGTGGAGAGGGAGGCCCTATGGCTGGTGTAGGTCAGAAAAGCCTGCCTCCTGTCCATAGCAAGATGACCGGGTGAGGAGAGCTTGAAGCTGCTGCTGAACCTGCAGAGATGTCACCGTTGGGTTCTCGGGCTGGGTGGTGGCTGCTGGAGATGTCCTGGTCTGGCCTCCCAGGACTGCACACTTACAGTCTCCGGGCTGTATGGTCTTGAGCTGAGTGGCTGCAGCTGCAGGCTGCTGTGCTCCCACCCCCTTCCAGAGGGCTTAGGTATGGGGCACAAGCCGGCTGGACAGGCAGGGGGCAGCCTGGGACCAAGCCAACAAATAAATCCAGGATGTGAGAGCAAACCCAGGAGTCGGGTGGGGCCAGGCTGCCTGGGGAGAGGAAGCCAGGCTGCCTCCCAGTGCAGCCTTCCTGCCTGCTCGGAGAACACTGTCCCACCCCTTGGTGCTGGGTTCCCAAGGAGAGACAGTGCTCCTAGGGACCCACTGTGTTTGTGTTGTGGGCTATGTAAGGCAAGGATGGAGCTGACATGTGTTAGGAGATCCTCAGAGCCCCAGAATGATGGCACATGCCTGTAATCCCAGCATGAGAGAGGTTGAGGCAGGAGGATTGTCAAAAGACTGAGGCCGATCTGGGCTAAAGACTTTTGAGACTAGCCTCAAAAAGAAAGAAAAGAGACCTTTTTTTGTCAGTCCACAGCCAGCCAGCCAGCAACACAGGAGGCCCCTCCCTTCAGCGGCAAGAGCTACCATCTGCTGGCAAACCTGTTTCCCCAGTTGTGGGTCTGGGTGAGGACAGAGGGGGAAAGCACCCCAGTTCCTGCCCTTCCTTTTTCCTAAAAGACCCCAGCTTTAGACCTGCCTTCACTAATCTACATGGACCCTGCCCTTTTAGTGGGCTGTTGGAAAAGATAGAGGGAGGGTCATTTTCAGAGTGGCCCTGGATATTACTCAGTTTTGGAGTTCCTCAGGTTCCTCGTAGGGAAACCAAGGCAAGGTCATCAAGACTGTTTTAGTCATCATTTAGTCTTGTGGCCAGGAAGTCTCAGGTAGATTGTTACCTGAGACCACACCTGTTGTTTCATCTGCTTGGAGCCTGTCTTCACCTTCATCGTGCTCGCCACCCCACAGCTTCCTGGAACCTAACCTTTAGTAAGTGTTCCCTGGTGTCAGCTAAATGACTGGCTGAGAAGATGCCCAGGGTAACGACCAGTCAAGGAAGTTATCCCAGAGCAGGCAGAGTTGGGATTTTTGAGGGGTGAAGGCCAGGAACAACAGGAATGAGCCCATAACTATGGGAAATCCAAGAAACAAGCTTTCAGTCAGACATGGTGGCATAGCATGGCTTTCTCTCCCTCCCTCCCTCTTCCCCTCTCGCTTTCCTTTCCTCTCCCTCCCTCCCTCTTCCTGCCTCTATCACTCTCATGCTCCCTCTGACACCCCCATTTCACCTTTAATCCCAGCACTTAGAAGGCTGAGGCAGGCAGATCTCTTTTGAGTTGCAGGCCATGCTGGTCTACAGAGTGAGACCCTGTCTGAAGAAGGAGGAGGAGAAGCATGAGAACACCCACCAGCATGTCCTCAAGGACCAGGGACAGCACCTGGCATGCTGGCACTTGGGAAGCAAGTAAAGGTTAATGCAAAATAGTATGTAAATGAACAGCCCCTTTGCAGGCTGGAGCAGTGGTCTTGCTCACCCTCTCATACCCCCTATTGATAGGGTTGCTGAGGGTCAGAAAGAGCCTGGCAGGATAGGGAACCCAGTTCTCCAACTGTGCCCCTGAGGAGGGATTCATAGGTTAGGTTAGAGTAGATGCTCTTTAGTTTTGCCCACCTTTCTCCCTGGTCTTTTATCCTTGACCCATGATCTCCCTTGTCTCATGTAAACCTGACCAGGCCTCTCTTCCTCTAGATCCTTTGCTGGGTCCTATTTCTTCCTGGACCTCAGTTTACCATGTGTGCGTACGTGTATGTGTTCGCGTGCATGTGCACATGTGTGTGCATGTCAGTCCCAGGAACTGAACTCAGGCTGTCACTTGGTGACTTAGCTTTTACCTGCTAAGCCATCTCACCAGATCTCCACTTCATGGTTAAGCTAGACTGGCCAGTGAGCTTAAGGGATCTGCCTGCAGTCATATCCTGTGCCTCCCCTGTTAGAGCTGAGGCTGTGGATTTGTACCCTGGCTTCAGTGGGCACTATAGAATCTGAACTCCCTTA